TATAAATTTAATTATTTTATCTTTACTCTGAATAGCCATTATCTGCCATTCATTAGTCATTTATTTTAAATCGATAATTTCAAAAGTATTTTAAATTCATTTATATAAATAACATTTTTATTTTACATTTATTTTTTATTTATTTATACAATATTTATTTTATGGAACGACTGTCATATTGCTTTAATATAAAACTATCTTCTTTCATTAAAATGATATGCATACGCGCTTAATTTTTGTGCAGTTACTTTACATCAATCCGACGGGAACAAATCCTACAGGCGCCGTCATATCGGAGATTCGACGAAGAAAAGTATATGAATTGGCGCAGAAATACAATTTCTTGATCATCGAGGACGATCCTTACTGCTTCATTCATTTTTTAAATAAACAACCCATGTCGTTTTTCTCCCTCGATACCGATGGTCGCGTGATTAGAATGGATTCGTTTAGTAAGATTATAAGCGCTGGATTTCGCGTCGGCGCTATTACAGCGCACAAAGATATCATAAATAGATTGGTTATTCACATTGCATCCTCTATTCTTCATGCATCATGTTTATCTCAGGTAAAGTTTTTTTTTTTTTTAATATTCTTTAAATGTATTTTAACTTGACTTGTTGCTTTATCGTGATTAATACTTTCATGATAATTTCTTTTACACACACACACACACACACACACACACACACACACACACACACGCACGCACGCACGCACGCACGCACACACACACACACACACACACACACACACATGCGCGCACGCGCGTATATATGTATATATACATACACAAAAAGGAGGGATCCGTTTGCCTACAAATCGATTGCCTACAGCATTATTTGCTTACATTGCTTTTGCCGAAAACTTTATGCGAAAACAGTTTCGTTTGCGCATAAAAATTATTGCCTACAGCTCCATTGCCTATATGCACTTTTATTTGCGCACAAGTAAAAATTTCAGAAATGAAGTCACATTTACCTACATATATTATTGCCTACAGCTTGATTACCTATATATAAATATTAAAATATAGATTTGTTTTATAGACAGGTGTGCCGGTATTTACTGCACTCCAATTTTATATTTATAAAAGTATTATGAAAAATTTAAGAAAGAAAATAATATAAATAAAACTGATTTAGGAAATTGCAAGCATTTAAAACGATGTATTATTAATAATATAGTTGCTATTATTTAAATTACACAATTTGTAAAAAAAGTTGTACAAATTTTATTTTCACATTCATATAGAATTCGTTTTTAACTAATTTTGTATAGAAACAAATATACGAATTATGCATTTACACTTTTTTAATTAATTAATTAAACAAATCATATTATATTATTAGTATTAATAAAGTGCAATAATTAGTTTCTGAGAAATAAGGAGGTCTCATTTTAAAAGATCCATGTTAATATCGGCGACTTTCCTTTAGGCAAATGATGTTGTAGTCGATTTGTAGACAAAAGAAATCATTTCTATATAAAATATACAGATTGTAGAGTAAATTGTATTTAGGTAAATATTTTATTTATCAGGCTCTTATGTTTCACAAAATTTTTTAATCGCGATCTTCCATTCATCAACAATTTCAGTTATTAATGTATTAATAACTAAATGTAATAGTAATAATTAAATGTTTATATATATGCAAATACAATATTATTATGTAAAATATACATTAAAATTTATTTACAATAATTTCTCTTACAGATGTTTCTTTATAAACTCTTTGAGAATTGGAGACAGCAAGAATTTGAGCAACATTTTAAAGAAATTCAAAAGTTCTATCGAGAACGACGTGACATGATGCTGACTATAATTGAGAAACATTTAACTGGTATGTTGACATTAATTTTAAAAGACTTTTTATGTTGAGATTTTTGAAAACAATAAAATAAATGAAAAATCAAGAAATTTCTTCATCGAGCAAAAATTCTTCAATTTTATCTAATATCATTTAATCTTTACTATTTTGTAGCTGATTCAAATATGATGTTTTCTTTTCAAATTATTATTATTCATTACAAATTTCCAAATAGATATTTTAATAATTATTCCATAATTTAAAATTTTATGAAAAAAAAAAAGACTGACTTAAAACTAAAAAACAACTATAATTGTGTGTATTTTTTTTCTAATGCTTGATTTAATAAAAAAAATAAAACAAAATTTTAATACAAAGATGATATTTTTGTTAAAAAAGATCAGTTGGAAATTGATCAAGAAATCTACAATAAACAATTTTAATGCACTTATTTTAATGTGTATTAATCTAAATTTCAAAAGTAGCTTTGAAATTCTCACATAAAATTGTTTTCTGCTAGGTCTGGCAGAATGGTACATACCACAAGGTGGAATGTTTTTTTGGATTAAAGTAACAGTTGTGAATGATACAAAGGATTTAGTGATGAACAAATGCGTACCGCAAGGTGTCTTCGTTCTTCCTGGCAATGCCTTCAACTATGATTCTTCAAAACATGATTGTCATTTGAGACTTAGTTACAGCTATGCTTCACTAGAAGAAATGGACAAAGTAATTTTAAATATTATTAATTTTAACTGTCTCTGTCAAATGTAACAAATTCATATATTTATGTATGTATTGCAAAAAATGCCGTACAAATTTATTAATTTTAGTCACAATTAAAAAATCTACATAAAATAAATATCTTTATATTAACAAATCTTTATATATAATTCTTACAAATTGTAAAAAAAAATATTAAATAAATGCGTAAAAGTAAAAACATACATAAATATTTACAATTTGAATTTTTTTTTTCTTATGTTAATAATGTAAAAAATATCATCAGTTATACAATACATATATGAGCATTTTAAAATATTGATATTTTTTTATTGTTTTTCAGGGAATATCTATAATAGCCAAAATACTACGTGAAGAAGCAGCGAAGAAAAAGTAACATTCAAATATATACGTAAAAATTTTTATTATTATATGTAGTATATGTATTTTATTGCATGATTGTATTTTTATAATCATGCTTCATTCATATCATACTATTATATTTTATTATGACAGAAAATTATAAGATTAAAATTCCATAATTATGCCTACTATTTCTATTTTAGAATATCCAGATTTAAGATAAAAATACAAGTATAACTTAAAAAGAATTTGTGTTAAAAAATTATTCAATCATTTTTAAATATCTAATTCTAATATTTAAGAAAATTTAAAAAATCAATGAAAATAATGATATCAAGCAATTAACATCTTGCTAATATTTATTTTTTTATATTTCGCATATTCATATTGTTTTTACTAACTTGTTAAAAATTTATAAGTAGAAAAAATTTTAATACCTTTCCTTATAACATTTTGTTGTTGTTTTGCCATCTATATCAGAAACAAGTATGAA